GGTACATTTCTCAGCAGGGCTGCAGGGGAGCCTTGCTGCGGCTCAGGGCTGTCCCTGCCGCCTGGGGAGATTTACAGCCCAGCCGGGCTTTATTACACGGAAGATGCTTACGCTGGGGATTTTTTTATATTTTTTTTTTTCTCCCCCCATAGTTTCTTAATTTGCTATCCCATAAAGAATGTGGATTTGTGACGTTAAATAGGGGAAGATCATTTACCACTCGCGGCTCTTACTTAAAGGATCCGCACGAGTTATTTATCGTGTGAGCACAGGCTGCAAGCGGCAGCGTGAGGGGATGCGTTCCCAGCCTCGGCGATGCTCCTGCTCCTGAGCAGGCAGCCGGACGGCGGCAGCCCCACGGCTTGGCCACCCTTGTGCTGTAAAACTTCCAGCCTCTGGGTGAAGTCCACCTCGTACCCAGAGGGAAACAAGGACACCAGCACTCCTGCAAGAACGGCTGCAGGAAAAGCTCCTTCCCCCATCCCTGGGGATGCGACCTCTGCTCCAGGGGCTGCTCGCCGTGGGCTGGGCGCCCTGGGACCTTGGACCATTTGCCCCACTGGGATGTGCTGCAGTCTGGGAGCCCTCCATCACTGCTGGGACATGCTATGACTCACGTATTCGCCCACTGCAGCGGGGGTACAAGAGCTTTCTGAACATAAAGGCACGCATGGGGACACAGGACCGGGATGGATGAAGCCTGGAGCTCTCCACCACATGACGGCTGGGTGCAGGGCAGCCCGGGTGCTCTGGTGTGGGGGCCACAGCTGGGAGGCACGGGAGCACCCAAGCCCACACATCACAGACGGGACTCACCCTGCCTGCCAAGCAGCTTGCGCTGTTTTTCAGTCATTCCCAGGAGGCACGAGGGACCGATTCGGCTCGGGGAACGGGAGTAGGAGGCTCCAGCTGCAAACAGTGTGATGCCTCGACAGGTCCCACTGCTGCTTGGGACATGGCATGTAGCAGAGAGAGGTCACATCTTCCCCCATCCCTCCACACGCCCATGCCCTGCAGCCTCTCCTGTCCCAGGTTCACCCTTTTGCTCCAGGCAAGCGAGAGGTGACGGGGACACCCCTTGCTGCTGATAGCCACCGACGCCTCAAAGGCTGTGCTAGAAGGTTGAGCTGGGGACAGGGTGGGGGGTGGAGGCTGCGGGAGCCCTGGGCTCCCCTTCTTTGGGCTGTGGGATGGGGGTGGGCTGGCACTAACCATCCTCGTGCCTGAAGTCTGCTCCAGTGCACGGTGCCGGCACAGCAGAGCCCGGCTTCCCGGGCATCCCCAGGGCAGACCTGTAAAGCAGCTGAGGCAGGCAGGCCAGCTGGTCCTGCACGGCCACCCGTTGAGAAACCAGGTCCCGGTGACTGTCCTGGCGGTCACTCTCCGCTGCCCCGCAGCACAGCCCATG